TGGTTTCCACTAATGATGTTTAAAACTTCATTACGATTCACTATTCGTTTTTGTATACCTTCCCTATAATTACTTGTTACTTCCTTGTTTACTTTTACTTGTTCACTATTTTAAAAATATATTTTACTTTTACTTGTTCATCTTTAACAATTAAGAAAAAGACAATTTTCTTTTCTGTTTTACCTTTATCATTAACTATTTATTCCCCAAGACTTTTTAAAATGCTATTAATATTATGGATAGAATTTTAAAATACATATTTCATTTACTTTTCTTAAAAGGAGTGCAAAATCAAAATGGACAACTAAAAATAAATGGAGGGAGTAGAATTTATAGAAAATAATAAGTATATATAAATATTACTACAATAGGATTTAAAAGAATTGGAATTCAGCGTGTTAGTTTCTCAAAACGAAAAAAAAAACTATGAACTCTTTTCCATTAATTACAGATAGAAGAAGGGAAGAAACTGGATGATATAATCGAGAACAAGGAAACAAATGGTCAAGATCAAGTCAATAAGCCTGCAAATAAAATCTTAGATGAAATATATGAGGATTTGGACATGAATTCGGCTATGAGATCCACCACCATATTCAAAGTAAGTGTGGGGTTACGTGGATCAAATCCAGATGCTTATAAGCCAAAGTTGATCTCTATTGGTCCTTACCACAAACACAATCCCGAACTTCGATCCATGGAAAAGTACAAACTATTGTATCTACAACGGTTCCTCCGTAGGAAAGAGGAGATTGATGTGGAAAGTTGCATTAGAGAATTGGAGGATGAAGCATTAAAGTGTTATGACGATATAGAGAACCTTGAACGTGATATTGTTGGTAATTTTTCAAAAATATTGTTACTTGATGGTTGTTTTCTAGTTGAACTCATTCGAGAGTGGTGTGGAATGTGTCCAGAAGGAGAAGGACCGATTATAGCCATAAATTGCATAATTAATCAAGTATGTCGAGATCTGCTGTTAGTAGAAAACCAACTTCCTTTCTTTGTCCTCGCTAAGCTTCATCACATGACTATGAATGAGGAAGATGAAATATCATTCACAAAAATGGTGAAGTGGTTCTTTTTACCTTTATTACCAAAGATGGCCCCTGCATCCTATTTTGAGAGTGAAGGTAATGATATTGCCGTAGAAATCAAACATTTACTTCAAGTTGTACACATGTCATGTCATCCTTCTGAGATTAAAAGTACTAGCCTAACCCATGAGAATCCTAGTTTGGAAATGGAACATTATTGCAATAAGAGCTTATGTTGTAATCCTTTGCAAATAATTAGGTCAAAAGATAAGCCAATAGATAAGGACCACGTAACGGGGCATAACGTCATGCCAAATGCAACAGAGCTTTCTGAAGCTGGAGTTAGCTTCGTAAAAGTCGGATATATTTATGATTACTTGGAGGAAGAAAACTGTGAAGATAACACAAGTTTATTTGATATCAAATTTGAGAATGGGTTAATGAAAATTCCTAGTTTTAAAGTCACTGATAGTACGGAGACTCTCCTACGGAATCTGATAGCGTATGAGCAACATTCATCTCATGTACGTCCTAGATATTTTAGTGATTTTGCAATTTTTATGGATTATCTTATTGACTCGGAGAAAGATGTGAATTTGCTTCGCCAGAAAGGAATCATTCGGAACATGATAGGAGAGGACAAAGAAGTAGCTAGCCTTTTTAACAAGATTGGGAAAGGGGTCATCGTTTCATCTGAGGACTTCTATTACAAACAAGAATGCAGAAAATTAGTTCACCATTATAAACAACCATGGAACCTAATGAAGGCAAGTTTAAGGCGCAATTACTTTAATAGTCCGTGGGTAGGAGCTTCAACTGTGGCAGCTGTCATACTTCTCATACTCACAGCTATGCAGACTATTCTAACTTTTACCGGTGGTGTTTAAGTAGTCATTGTTCTAATTATATACATAATGGTTGTTTAAATGTCTCCACTGTAGTATTTCCTCACAACTCCGTGCATGTGTGTTGATGAGCTTATTGTATCAACTAGATGGCCCATGCCAGTGAGCACATGCATTTGCCCGACATAGTTTATGTTATTTTGGTACAACTATATACAAGATTAACCAAAAAAAGAGGAAATTCAACACCGGGAAGATATTTCTCATAGAAAATTGCATCTTTGTCCAATTGCATAAAGAAAAGAAAGGGAAATATAAAAATTCAAGCTTTTAGCAAAATTTCAAAAGATGGAAGCAGTTTTGTCAAGTACTTGAATATATGCAACATTCAAATTTCTGCATGGGCCATGCAAGTGCCTGCACGACTTTGCTTTCAATTCTAACATATTTTTTAATACTAAGTATTTCTGGCAATGTTAAGACATTTCATTGTTTAACATAGTTTGCTTGTCTCTTCAGTTGTTTTTTGCATTATGCTCACAAATAGAGGCAGGGGCAGATCTACGTGTAGTATTTCGGGTGCTCGAGCACCCATTAACTGACACTAACCTTACATGCTTATATATGAAATTTTTATAAATTATATATATGAAGTCAATAGCACCCCTTGCTCGAAACATTCGATGGGTGCTTTGGTTGGAAGCCTAATTTGAAGGTGCATAATTGGGCATGTACGCAGGTTCGTTTCCCAGGAGGCACAAATTTATAAGAGCTCACTCAAGTTTTTTCCTCCATTACAATTTTTTTTGTACTTTCTTTATATGCATTCCTTTTAATTTGCTGACTATTACTTGGTTTTAACTTAGAGATTTCCGTTTTTCTTACTCATTCTCGCTGGTTTTAACTTCGTTTGTCCGTGACTGGGTAGAGACATCTATCTTTGGCCTTGTTGATATAAAACCAACTGATCTTATGCATGCTATGTACAAATTATGGTAGAAAGTTAGAAAATGTGAGATAACATCAAAAAGAGGAAGACAATAGCTGATAAAGTCGTCAAGAAACTTAGCTACAAGATATATTTGTGCACTTGCTAAGTCTATGAAACTAGGTATTTCTCATGTCTAGCTAGCATAGCAATCTTGGATAAGGAAGGACTGCCAGAACAATTTGAGTTCACAATCTATCGTGTATACACCAAATGGTATAGAAATGCAATACTTTCGCGTGTCCTACGTTATAAAATAGCAAGAATATTAGCTATAGTTGTAATCTTTCCGTGGGCGAGTGACAAACAAACTTGAACATTCTGTCTTCTACGTGAAACAGCCAACACTGACAGGAAGTGGGTGGCTCTCCAGATTAGTAGCCAAAAAATATTGCATTTAACAGGTGTTCATACAAACATACTTCACAACTGGGGTCATGTCAAGATGACGATTAACTGCATATCTATATCTAATATAGCCTTTCCAAAAGGCATACACATTGGAGATAAGTCTCTTTTGTTAATGTTCTCTGACCAATAAAATATTTTAAGTGGCAACACAACAATGGCTCTTTGCGCTTAACAAGGTTTAACCACTAAGAATAACAACAGACAAACAAGTAGTCTAACCAGAGCTCTACATCACAGACTTTAAGTTTTCTAAGTTCACATTATTGTTTCTCCCTCCATCCGTGGCATATTTTTCTTTTTGGTCTGTCCCAAAAAATAATGTCATACTTCCTTATTTATTAACTTTAAACTTCTAATTCTATCGTTAACGAGATAATTTATAGACACACAAATGCCTATGGCTTGTTTCGGACCACAACTTTTAAAAGTCTTTCTTTCTTAAACTCTGTATTTAGGCAAATGCCACTATATAAATTTGGACAGAGGGAGCATTGATAATAGGATATAATTGCGTATTTTAGCCAATTATTACACTCTAATTTACTGCACTTTAATTGAGTTTGAGCTTTAATCGCTAGTGTTCTTCACTAATTGTGTATTTTACGCCTTGATTCCGAGCTATAGATATTATGGAATGAATTCAAGTGATTTGGAGCCTTGAAGTCTGAGTAAAATACCAAGAAATCAAGTCGGGATCGTGTTCGGGGATCAACGGATGATAGTTAAGAATGAAACGGAGAATCGAGCGGGCATACAATACATTGTCTAGTAAAATATACATAACGTTTCGCTCAGAACTCCGTTTGGGCTACACAATATATCGTTGGAAAGCTATTTGAAAGAGCTACAACTATCATGCTTTGCATTTTTGCGAATTCCCACTACCGCAGCGCATGGTGCGGCGCGCGCCTGTGGAAATTTCATGCAGCACGTCAGAATCAGCTCTCTGAACTTCCACACAAGCACACCGCATGGCGCGTCGCCCCATGCGGTGCGCTTGTATAAATTTTACAAAGCTAGAGTCCTATTTCGAAGGAAAGGGTGTTTCGTCTAGGCCCGACCCTACTTGGTATAAATACATATAAAAATGCTATTTTGATGACTTTTGACATATCTTAGACCTAGGGAAACTTTTTTGAAAGGGAGAAAACGATTGGAGCATTCTTTGGAGAAGGAAATCATCGAATTCTTCATTCCTTCATCATTGCTTTATAATTTGTTTATGCAAAATACTTAGAAAATTGTGCTACGAACATGAGTGGCTAAGCACTCTAGTTTCTAGGATTGTGGTTGACATGATTATTAACGTTTATTAAATACATCTCTATTAATTCGGATTATCATCTTGTGGTTGTTTCTATAATTTTAGTTTTAATTTGTGAATTGTTGTAACTACCAATTCACCCTACTATTTATGCTATGTTTGGGAAAGCCATGTTTAGATTGGAGTAGAAAAGCTTAAATCTGAACCCGTGGCTCGGGGGAAGATTTTGCGGTTAGGATAGGAATATACCTAACAGTCTTGCTTAATTAAATACCGTATTCGTTCATGATAGACTCAATACCATAAGAATATAGGATTGATATTGTCACGACCCGGATTTCCCACCCTCGGGAGTCGTGATGACGCATACTCATGAAAGCTAGGCAAGCCGAGTATTATAGATTTATTACCTTATTTTTCCTTAACCTTTTAACATTTACGAATTAACATGTGAACAACAGTGGCGTAATCATAATAAACAGAAATGCGGAAGACGAAATCTAATAGTTTAACCAAATACTAGCACAGAATCCAACATACAACTCTACCTAGAATTGGTGTCATAATGTCACGGACCATCTACGATTACTACAAACAACGGTCTGAATAAAATTACAAATCTGTCCCAGAAATACATAAGAATAGAATGGAAAAGATAGAAGGGGACGCCAAGGCCTGCAGTTGTCTGCAGGACTACTTCGGGTCTCTACTGGACTGAAGGCAGAAACCTCTCTACGGTCCAAAAGCTCCAGAGCCGGGATCTGCACACAGTGCAGAGTATCGTATCAACACAACCGATCCCATGTGCTGGTAAGTGTCGAGCCTGACCTCGGCGAAGTAGTGATGAGGATAAGATAAGACTACCAAATAAACCTGCGTAGTTATATCATATAAAGCAAATAATAATGACAGAAACTAGCAGTTAAAGATGAGAAGGGAAACATGCTCGGGGAAATATCATGCACAACCAAAAAATTCAGTAAAAAGGCATAAAGAACACCAAAATTCAACTATAAGCAAGAATAAGGGGAACAATAACAAGTGTACGGCATCACCCTTCATGCTTTTACTCTCGTTCTCACCATAAGAATCAATATATTTGGCACGACATCACCCTTTGTGCTTTTACCTCACATAATCATGGCATGACATTATCCTTTGTACATTATCACTCATATCATGGCACGACATTACCCTTCGTGCGTTAACACTCACTCACAAGTATCGCGCACGACATCACCCTTTGTGCTTTTACACTCTTCCTTACCCAAGCAACAATCACAAAGCAATTCGGGCAAGGGAATCAATAAAATCACAATAGAATCCCGGCAAGGGAACAATAGTATAATAGCAATATCCCGGCAAGGGAAAACAATATCCTAAGCAATAACATCCCGGCAAGGGAAATAATATCATAAACCTCTTCTCTTTTCCACAATTACTTCACAACTCAATTCTCAATTTGAGCCAATGCTTTACAATGTTCAATTATCAAGAATACTTCCATGAGCCTTGTTTAACATTTGAAATCATCATATTAGGCATGGACAATACATAACGGAGTCACAACAATCATAGTATAAGACTCACAGGCATGCTTGACACCAACGTATAGATACTCGTCACCACACCTATACGTCGTACTCAACAATTAACACACAACAAATAAGATCAAGACTCCTATTCCCTCAAGCTAAGGTTAGACCAAACACTTACCTCAATGCCACGAACACAATCAAGCCTCAACTACCGCTTACCTCTTGATTCCACCACCAAACCGTTTGTATCTAGCCACAATTTACTTAATAACGTTAATAATTGCTAAATAAACCAATTCCAATGCATAAAAATAGATTTCCCATTGTTTTTCCCAAAAGTCAAAAATTGACCCCCGACCTGCTTGGTCCAAACCGAAAATTAGGACCAAAACCTGATTACCCATTCACCCCCGAGCCCGGATATACAATTGGTTTTGGAATCCGGCCTCAATTTGAGATCTAACTCCCTAAATTTTGATATTCCTACATTCTTCCCGAAATTCCCAATTCCACCATGAAAACCCTAGATTCTAGGATGAAATCTTGTAAAAAGAAGTTAAGAAGTGAAAGAAATGAGTTAAAAATTCTTACTTGCGTTTTGGGAAGAAAGAGTGTTTTGAAAAATCGCGTCTTATGTTTTAGGGTTTTGAAAAATGAAAAATTGCTGAAAAGTCTTGTTTATATATACCCCTCTCAGACCATCACCGCTGACGGCAGAAAAATGTTCGCGGCCGCGAAGCTCCACTGCGGACCGCGAAATATCGAGCGCGGCCGCGGAGATTTGGCCTTGCCCATCGCTGACCGCGAAAACCCCACTGCAGCAGCGAAGACTCCACCGCGGTGGCGAGGAATCACCGCGGACCGTGAAGCTCTGTTCTGAGACCTACAACTTCTTTGAACCTGCAACAGTTATTTTCTAAGTCTAAATCACTCCGTGGCCTATCCAAAACTCACCCGAGCCCTCAGGGCTCCAAACTAATCATGCACGCAAGTCTAGAAACATCATACGGACTTGCTCGTACGATCAAATCATCAAAATAACATCAACAACCATGAATTAAACCTCAAATT